AATGATAGGACCATAGTAGAAATTAGTCTCATTTCATAATGTTGGGGTCATCAAAATTGTGTTCATGGAACTTAATGGGTTGAATAGCGCTAAACTCAACATGTTTTTGCTCTTTCGTTAATTTTATTTCATTTTGATGTATATGGGTTGAAGTATCCTTTTGTACTTTCATTAATTTTATTCTTTGTTGTCGATAAAAAAAAATAGCTTTTTAATATATAAACCTAAATCCAAACAATGATCAACTTCAAAAACTTTGATAAAGATTTAAATTAAAATAACTAAGTCTAATTCTTAATTATGTGAGGAAGGAAGAGAGCAATGGTATCATGTGGATGATGAATGGATGAATGATTGGTATGAAGTGTCATATCATATGGATATGTTGCAGATGATGAAAAGTGGTGATGAGATTTTTCAACGAAAACAGTGCAGGGATGGGCAAAGAACCTAAGTCCTAAACAGAAGTTGTGAGGTAATGGTTTGTGGCAGAACAGTGAATTAGTAGGAGTAGGACTGTGGCATGCACAAAACTTACAAATTGAAATGCAGAAACAAGTTTGGTAACTTTATGTTTTCTGAAACCTGACACCCAGAAAACAAATGATAAGCAGACAAAACTCTTGGTTGCAAACCCCACAAAAAACCATTTTATCTACCGCCTTCATTCTATGTGTTTGTGTGATCCAATGTATACATCTTTTCCCTCAAAATCATCATTCTTCTTCATTTCCACAAATCTCAACCTTTCTTACTCAATATGGTTTTATAATAATTGTTTTCATTAATGATATTTAGATGAAGAGAAATAACAAAAATAAACACTAAATTAGACAAAAAAAAAGTAATATTATAGATAATAAATTTTGTTTTTCAAAATTATTTGTTTTCATCTCATAATAAATATGTAAATTATTTTTATTTTTACTCATCTATATTTATAGAAAAATTATTTTTACCTCAAATATTGTTTTAATTCATGATAAAACAATCTCAAATATGGTCGACTTAGTTAATTTAATCATATGTCATATTTGAATTTTTTTATTATATATTAACAAATTAATTAAAATTATAAACCTTAGTTTAAATTTTTTTATAATTCTTAGACAATTTTATATTAGTTATATTATTAACTTAATTTTATAATAAAAATCTTGAACATAAATAATTTTTTTAAAATCAATTTTACAAATATTCACTGGATTATATTTTAACTTTATAAAATATTAAATTATTATATTCCATTCGACAACTCTACTTGAAAAAAATAAACAACTTATACGTATAATATATTGATATAAATATAATTTGTATAATTTGCACCAAACCGTTCACATAAAAACAAATATAAAATATAAAATTGTATGTATATATAATTATAAGTTTGTTGAATTACTCTATTAATTTCATTTTTATTTAAAAAACTATTTATATCTATATAATAAATCTGATTATTGTCATCTTAAATCATATTAATTTGTTGTCACATTTATATGATATTAACTAAAAAGAAAAAAATTAAACTTAAAATTTATCACTTGTTTTTATAATATACTTTACTTAATTATCCTTATTAGACTTTCCGAGTATCTTTTATTATATTTTCTTCTTTTTATTTTAGTTTTTATCTCTTGTATTCTCTTCTTATAATTTTCGAATAAGTTTTTTCTTTTTCGCTTTTTTATTCTCTCTATTTTTTCTTTCCTTTTTTTCTATTTTAATATCTCTTGTATAACTCGCATGATATTTCTTTCTTCTCATAATATTGTTGCCAATATTCATAATCAAACAAATAGACTTGTAAATAAATGATATTACTGATTAAGCCAATTATTTGATGATATTCTTAAATTGATCCATGATAATAGCAATTTGGACTTGTCTTGTAAGTTTTCCAACAAAAATTATTATATATGTTCTTTTAACTAAGCAAAAGTGTATTTCCTTTAACAATAATAATAACTTCTTTGCTTATTAGTTTGATTTAATCTATTGTGACATTTGGGACCTTTCTATATTATCACTTGTGAAAATCACGTTTTTTTATTCTTACAATAATTTATGATCACAACTAAACTTTTTTGTTGAAATCTAAAACCAAGCTTTTGTTTGGTTACAAAATTTTTTCCAACTTGTTAAAACTATCAATTTGTAGATCTATAAAATGTCTAAGAAGTGATAATGCAAAGGAATTTTTACTTATTGATTTCTTAGCTTCTGAAGGAACCTTGCATCAAATTTCATGTCCTCCTACACCAAAACAAAATTTTTGTTGTTGAAAGCAAACATCAATACCTATTAAATAAGGCTAGATCTTTGTTGTTCATGATACCTATAATTTTTTTTGGAAGAATGTGTTTTGACTGCTACTTGCATCATAAATCGAATACTTCTTCTATTTTACAAAATTGTAGCTTTTTCAAATTCTTTATAAAACTGCACTTGACTATAATAACTTTAAAATATTTGGTTATTTATGTTATGTTAATACCTAGAAACATGACAAACACAAAATTCAGTCCCAAATTGTGTTTATTGGTTATCCTCTTGTGGTAAAGGGACACAAGTTGTATAGTCTTGAAACTAGAAAAATTATAATTTCTAGGAATATTTTTTTTTTCATGAAAATATTATGTCTTTTATTATTTAACATAACACTTCTACATCTCAATTCCATAAAGATCATGATCCTTTTAGTCATATTATTGTTCTTAGGCCTACAATTGACCTTTCAACTAAAACAAGTTTTTTTTATCACTCAGACCGTGATAATCCTCCTTATAATGAAAATACTCATAATAAAAATAATGATTTGACTAAACATTTAAATTTACACTCTCCTTAACTTTCAAGAATATCATCTAAACAAATAAATCATCCTTCATATTTAAATGAATATAATGTTTTCATTCCTAACCTACAATCACTTGTTTTCCGATCACAGATTTTCTACTACACACCAAAATTTTATTACATAAATAAGCAGTATTTATGAGCCAACATATTATCATTAAGTTGTTAGATTCCCTAAAAAGAGAGAAGCAATAGACAGTGGTTTAAACATTTTTCTATGTCCTTATAATCTCATGGTATTATTCAATGCATTAGTGATAATTCTCTCTTCAATTTTGTTAGTGAAAATAACATAGTATACTTGTTAATATACTTAGATGATATCATTCTTGTAGGACAAAATAAGGATTGTTTAACAATTGCCACAAAATTTTGTACAATTTATTCAAACTCAACATTGTAGGGGACTTAAAGTTTTTTCTTGGTTTAGAAATTATACAAAGTCCAAACACAGTATCTATTTATGTCAAAGGAAATATATCATTCAACTCTCATAGTATATAGAGTTCATCATGGTGAAATATGTTGTTATTCCCATAGATTCCAATAAGCTTTTCAACTCCACCGGTGACGATCCTCTTCCTTATACATCTACTTATAGAAGACTGTTAGGTAGACCAATATTTTTAGACTTGATATTATTTGCAGTAAATAAGCTAAGTTAGTTCATCAATAAATCTCAAACATCACATTTTCAAACTATTCATCTAAGTACTTATGTGGACGTTGATTAGGGAAGTTGGCTAGACCATAAAAAATTCACTACAGGTTTTTTTATCTTTATGGGTAATTCTCTCCTTACATGAAAATAAAAAAAAAAATCCTACCATTTCTAGATCTTTAGAAAAAGCCGAGCATAAAAGTATTACTTTTATAACTTCAAAATTATTCTGGCATAAACAATTATCTGATTCTTCCAACACTAACCTCACATAATGTTACTATTATGTGATAATGTTTCTACTATTCATCTCTTCGTAAATCTAGTCTCACATTACATATCTACACATAAACATTGATGTCAATTTTGTCAAAAAATATGTCGAATTCAAAAGGTTTATTCATATGAAATCACATCAACAAGTAGCAAAATTCTTCATTATATCTCTTCGAAACATAAATTTAAGATCACTCTCACGAGAAAATTGACTCTCGAAAATATTTTTTCTCTCACTCAGGAACTTTTATCATATATATTAATTAGTTACCCTTATTAGTTTTTTCAGTTGTATCTTCTATTATGTCTTTCTTTTTTTTCTTTTATGTTTTTAAACTTTTGTATTTTTTTTATAACTTTTGAATAAGTCTTTTATTTTTCTTCTCTGTTCTCTTTGTTTGTTTGTTTTTTTTCAATTTTTCCGATTTGATATTATAACTCTAATCTAAGTATTATTATGACTACTCATGATAAAATTCTTGACAACTCTACATTATTCCTTGGTGCTTAATATCCAAGAACATGTTAGCAACAATTTTTTCGATTGATTCCTCGATATCTCCTACCTTAGTCTTAATAACTTAGATTATTAGTAAAATATAAGTATCACATTGAATCCTCCAACGTAAATATCATATCAACTATAACTCACTTGTAGCTCCATTATACTAACTATCAGAAATTAATCAAATTCAAACATATCCTAAAATTCTAATTAAAACTCTGTTAGGTCCTTTACGAATAGCTCTAAAAGTCAAATTTTTATTTATGTAATTTATATATATTTTTGTAGTTGATATAAAACCTATTTATGTAATTTATATATATTTTTGTAGTTAATAAACTTACCATATTTTAATGCCATTTTTCTGGCAAAGTACTAGCATTGTGGGCCCATTGACTAAATGGGCTATGGTTTCTTCCCAATTTATGAGCCGATTAACAAAACAGAGAACTTTTGTGGATCGAACACCTATTCCATACCAATCAAACATACATTAAGAATAAGTTTGTTTTGCAGTTTCAAAATATTAAAATAAGAATTAACTAAAATTGTGAAGTTTCAAAATATTCAATAGAACCTTGTTTTGTAGCAGCAGCGCCTTGTAATCCACATGAACATTTTCAGCAAAGTTCGAAGGAAGTTTAATGATCAAAACAACTGTTTTAATGAGTACAAAACGATGCTTTCTGTATCATTTTCTCTTCAAATCAAAGCATTGCTTTCTCCTGTAGAGAGACTCTCAATAACCAGACTATAAAAGTTCCAAGATTCACTTGTTTCACTAATGCCTTTTTGGCCAAATGGGTGTTCCTCAACGTACTTATGCATATCTTCTGCATTTGCCAAGCCATCTAGATATACTCTCAGTTCTCCTCCTTCAGCTGTCATGATTTTTAGTTGTGTCAATTCATCATCTTCAAATTATAAACTTAGCAAAGCGAAACACGAAAATCGATTGTTTACAATATGTATTTTAGTTAATCATAATCAAAATGTTAGAAAAAAAAAATAGTGAAGACTCGTTTCATCATACTAGATGTAAAGATTGATAACAAAGAATTTATTAGAAACTTAAAATTTTCACTTTTATTTATTCTTTGTAAAAATAAGGTTGCATATTTGGATTTAAACAATCTCAGGAACTATCTCTTGTATAAAACATTTACTCACAACAAACCAAAGAGTTTCGTAATAATACTCCTCAATAAACTTCACTTTCTAAATATTTAAGAAATTTTTTAGTTCCTAAAACTATCACCAGGAGATATTCCAATAAAACCTAATTAAATTATTATTAATTTTACTTAACAAACCCACCCCCCTAAAATTAATTCCTTGCATTAAAAAAAAAATTAAGATCAGCTTTATCCCAACCTCCCAGACAAGCCTTCAACTTCAAAACTTCTGGCCTTCAAAACATCTCGGGCTCCAAACTTCCAAGCTTCTTACTAGCCGACTACGTGTTTTCTTCTTTCCAAACACTCCATGTTTCTTCCATCCTTTATCTCGATCATCCACATCTCCATACCAATCATTGTCCGACCTATTCTCATCTTTCTTAAATACATGCTTCTCACCAATAGACCAATCATAGTGTTCTCTAACTCGATCCTTCTCTTTTATAACAACTCGAATCTTCTCTTTGACATTTTTCTGAAGTGGAATCTTTGCCTTATTACTGACTTCTCCTCTGAAAACTTTCTCCTTCATACTCGACATTTCGAGCATCACGTTCTTCATGGTTATTTCTTCCTTCTCGGTTTCCGATCTTACAACAGTTGGTGGCACATAAGCTCGGTATACTTTCGATTTGATAACAATTGTAGGTGCAACAGTTTGCCCTGCTCAGTCTCTTTCACTTGCATCACCAACTTGGACAATATCATGATTATATCGGTGATTATTTACATGTGAGTATACCAGTGATTTACCTTTAATATATCATCTACATTTGATCTCAAACTCCTCTCCTGAATGTTTCTCAGCTGCAACTTGTACATGCTATTATTTTCCATTTCGACTCGGACAATCAACATTCCAAACTTGTTCTTCAATTAGAGCACTCGATCTTTTATGAAAATCGAGTATCCTCTCTTCACCAACTCTCTCACACTCAAAATATTACTCTTTAAATCTAGAACATAAAACACATCTTGAATTGACCCAACTAGGTCATCCTTCTGCAAGAAATAAATAGTGTCTCGGCTTTTTACTAAGATCCTTGAAGCGTCTCCAAATGAAACATGATCACCCACAAATTTCTCTAATTTGTTGAATAAGGACTTGTCCCCACACATGTGATTACTTGCACTCGTATCCAGATATCATACCGAGTACTGATCGGTATTGGCCTGAACTCCTTCACTGTAAATTCCAGTGTCGAGATGAGATCAACCATCAACAATGTTACTCCAGTCTTCTTCTCCTCTGCAAGATAGGTCTCACCTCCTTTTTATATTCTTTGGCGAAATCTCCCTCCTTCCACGATTGAAATTTCTTCTCAAATAAAAATTCTTTGCATAATGGTCATACTTGTCACACTTGAAACACTCGACATTTGAGTGGTTTTTTGACCGACCTCTTCTCGATCCATGACCTCGCTAGTTTTGTTGAGTCCAATCTTTCTTCTTGTCACTTCGGCCATCAAATCCTCCTTGTCTTGATCGGCCACCTCGGGACCGACCACCATGTCCTCTTCCTCTATTATTCTAAGAATAGAACATCTTCTCTCGTTCTAGAGCAATTTCTCACGCATGTCCTCGTCCTCCATATCTTTGTGCATTTGGTGTTCATAGGCTTTAAGAGATCTGATCAATTCTTTTATTGAAAGCTCGAACAAATTATTCGTTTGTTCTATCGCACACACCACGTTGTTAAAGGATTTTGTTAAAGATCTCAAAATCTTTTCAACAATCTGTTATGTGGAAAATACCTCTCCGTTTTGATTAAGCTATTTTGCCACATTTTCAACATGTAGGATATATTCAGAAACTTTTCTAACTCATTTGTCTTCATGCTCTCCATCTTGTTTCGTAGTGTCTGACGTCAAATCCGTATGACTTGGTCATCTTTTTTGTGCTCCTTCTTCAACACGTCCCACGCATCGGATGCCGATGTGACTCCTACAATCTTCTCAAAGTTAGAATCTTCTACAGCTCGAAACAGTAAAAATAGAGTTGCACTATCTTTCTCACGTTTCGTCTCTAACTCCTTGAGTTTATTAACCATGAATCCTTTTGTGGTCTGAGGTTGTTCAAAACCTTCTTCCACTATCTTCCAAACACCTTAGACTTTGAGGAAAGTCTTCATCTAGACACTCCATTTATCATAGTTGACATCCTTAGCCAGTCGGGACATAATTGTAGCAACTTTTGTCAGGTCAGCTATCCTTAATGAAAAAAAAAAAACTCTCTTTTAAAAACACTCAACAACTCAAAAAAATTTCTCTGAGAAACCCTCAGCTCTCACTCTTCTAAAGAACCCTAGTTCTTCTAAAAAAATAACCAAAAAATCTCAAACTCTCCTGAGGAACAAAACTCTCCCTAAGAACTCTAATACCAATTTGATAATAAAGAATTTCTTAGAAACTTAGAAATTTCACTTTTATTGATTCTTTATCATACTAAAAATAAGATTACATCTCTATGTTTAAACACTCTAATAACTATCTCTTACATAAAACATTTACTCCCTAGAAACTAAAGAGTATCATAATAATACTCCTCAATAAACATCACTTCCTAAAAGTTCAAGAAACTTTCTAGTTCCCAAAACTATCAGAAACAAACATTTAAACACAAAGAGACATTTCAATAAAACCTAATTAACTTATTATTAATTTTACCTAACAAAGTTTAATCTGAATTAAGAAATGGCTACTTGGTTATGTTTTAAAATATACCATGTTAGAAAAGTTTACCCTGGCATGATCGTGATAGATTATCAAAAACTATTGATTAGAGCTTCCTATTTTCTTACCACAACAAGAATCAAGCAAGTATGAAGAAAAGTACAGAAAATAAAGATCGAGTATGTAAGAAACATAATTGAATGAAGGAGAGTGAATCAAAGCTTCATCACTCAGATTTCTACAAAGTAGAACTCAAGAAAGATTTTACCTAAAGTGTTGTCGTTCTCATCATGATAACTGAATGTATGAGGGAGGATTGAGGTGTTTGCCTAAAATAATTTATCAAAAAAAATAAAGCAAAAGGTTAGAAAATGATGTAGTAATTTGGTGATACCAACAAAATGACAAGCTGTAATAAGGAAAACAAAGGGAGTAAAATTATTTACAGGATTAAGCAATGCCTTGTAAGGAGAATCATCCAACAGCAAAGTATTAAATTCATTGTAATATCCTTTCTCCCATGGAAGATTAGGATCCTCCTTATCCCAAAGCTTTCTCAAATCCTTAAAAACCAAACTCTTGTTCTTATTCTCAAGAGTCTTGAAGCGTGTTTCAGTGCAATGAGAAAGGTCCTCCTGCATATTAAAAGCCAAGAAAATGCAGAATCAGAAGTGGAAAAAGGTTTACTTCTAACAAAGTTGAGAAGGGAATCAGTAAGTAGAATGAGGTAGTTGCCATTAAACTAATGAAGATAATAAGAATGTAGTTGTCATGTCTAAAATAAAGTTCATATCTAAGTTGAATTTTCTTGTAAAATGACAAAATGAAGAGGCAAGATAAACATCACTGAAATAATTCAATACAACAATCACTAACATGGTTTCTTCAAACCTTTCATCTCTAAATATGTATTGTTTATATCAATTCACAAAAGACTTACCCAACCGAAAAGTAATTTGTTTTTCAAGAATGGCAACAAATAGTTAATGATTCGATCAACATTTTTCCTATCATAACAAGAAACAGTTAGTTTGTAATATAGCCAATTGTTAACAACAAAACATCTCAGAAGAAAAATAGGACAGTTGAAATTCTTTCTGAAAGAGAAAGGAAGAAACAAAAGTTGAAAAGTATATCAGTTGAAGAGTACTTCATTCTTGAAGACCATATACCAACTTCAAATTTATCGAAGCAAAACTCTAGAAACTCAAGATAGGAGGGTCTCTTGAATACTGAAGTCAAATTCAAATATAACCAAGATTAGTAAAAGAATGAATTCAATTCATAAAACCAAAGAACATCACAATTCTTACTTGCTCTCCTTGCAATGGTTATATCTGTCTCGCGATCCTTCGGAGGAGGAGAAACTACAGCCGCTAACAACCCATTTATATCAAGAACAATGAGTCTTTTCTTCAAAGGAAGAACTTGAGTTCCACCCAGAAAAATATTATAAATTTCTGCACTAAGATCTTCATTTCTGGAAGGAGCAGATACAGTCCTCTTTTCTTCAGCGTGAGAAGATAACTCCTTATCATTTTTTCCTTTCTCTGACACAGTTAACTCAGTTTTTACTGAATTTCCTTGGGGATCCATCCTATTTTTCTCTCAGAAAATATTGACAACAACAATAAGATTCAACTAAGTTGATAGAAAATTATTTACAGAAAAACAATCTGGCAAGCACTTGTGTGGTTTAATACTACAATTTATAGTTGTAGAAATCATTGCACTCAATGTTTTGGAGCAGGCCCCTGTGGTACATTTGCAATTAATCATGCTGCATTATTCTATATCCTTCTAGCTCTAATTATTAGCTTGAACTACAAATTAGGCAATTTAAACTACCAAGTCCTAAGGAGCCATAACAAAACAACCTAAAACAACTTTTAAATTTGGTTCTCTTAACTTAGCTGGGTCATTTCGGTTGCTACTGCAACTTTAAACCAGTAGTATAATGGCATATCTCCTAATGTGGCTTGTAGAATGTTTGGTAGCAGAGTAAATTTAATGAAGGAAAATGACCAATGTATCTAGAAAGAATGTATAACTAGATATCTCTCATTTCCTAAACCAAACCAGACATAACTCAAATAGAAATATTGTATTATGCTTAATATAAGGAGAAGGTCCACCTATATGCCATGAGACAAACCAAACATATTGTGAAGTATTGAAAGAATTAACACACAATAATACTAAAAGCGATTTTATTGATTGGGATTTGAAGTGTTAAAGAAAACCAGAGAGCATGTACAAGGGATCACACCACGCTCGTTCACTAATCAAAAGTTTACTTAGACAAATATAGGTTTGGTATTTTATATATACATTGGTATAAGCTTGATAGAAGAAAACTGGTTCCATTTCATGGTGATGTCTGAAACTTATTTTTGGACGTTCCAACTTATTCTTGGAAGAGAATTTTTGGAAAAGAGATAAATAAATACAAGATTAATATAAAAACCCAACTACAAATTTTATATAGATTCTCATTTGAAAATATTTTCAACAGGTTACACTGTACCACACATGCAAGAGTTGAAATGAAGGAAGAGAAGAGAATGTTCAGAGTATTACACCAAACTATATCTAAAATATCTTTCTATTTTTCTCTTACCTGTTGATCTCCTCTTCTTTTTTTTTCCTCTTTTTTCTTCTCTACTTCTCTTAACTTTTCTACTTCTCTGCTCCTCTTCTCAGTTTTTTTTTTTTTCCTCTCCTCTTTTTGTTTCTCTCTCCCTTCTCCTTCTCTACTCCTCTTAGTTTTTTTTTTCTCCTGTACTCTCTTCCAACAGTCTTTATTTTTCTCACACTTTTCTTCTTTCTTCGATGTGGTATTTATAGAGAAAAGTTTTTTATCAGCAAATCTCTTATTTTTATCCAAGAAATAAAAAAAAATACAAATTATGAAATTTATATCTTATTTTAAATCTTAAATCCTAAATCCTACACCTTACGTATTAAGATTTCGTAACGAAAAAAAAAATAGTAAATATTTCATTAAGTGAAGATGATGGTTGAGTATATGAATAAAATAATAAAAAATAATTTTAATTAGATTTTTTTTTCTAATTTAAAAAAAATTAAAAAAAGTTTCTTATCTCCCTTAAATTAAAAGAGTTTTAACCAAATTAAAAAAATATATAATTTATTTATTTTTCTTTTGAATTATTTTTATAAGATGATCTTAATTCTTTGTAGAGGTTCTAATAAAAATTATTCTACCTGGTATTATCTTTATTTAAAATTATCTACTTTCCCATAATAAACATGATCACACGGTACTAATGAATTAGGATAAACTATATTAAAAATAATTAATAAATTTATAATCTAAAACACTTTCTCATCACATTATATCATATTCTCGCAATAATTATATTTTATTATATCATTTTCACCCATTCACTACTACAAATAAATCTTTCAACGTCGGTTCTGGAAGGTATCAGGTGACGTTGAAAGTCGTAACTTTCAACGTCGGTTCTAAAAAACCGACGTTAAAGTTTTTACTTTAGATAGCGGTTATAAGGGAACCGCTATCTAATATACACTTTAGATAGCGGTTATAAGGGAACCGCTATCTAATATAGACTTTAGATAGCGGTTATAAGGGAACCGCTATCTAATATACAGTTATAAGTCGACTTTCAACGTCGGTTTATTAGAACCGACGTTGAAAGTATGATTTTTTAAATTAATAATGTTTATTTATTTACAATCCCTTTACCCCCTTTTATTTATCTACAAGTCTCCCTCTCTTCATATTATATTTTTATTAGGTCCTCCATCTCTTTATATTATATCTTTTAGAAGTTTTTTAATTTTTAAGAGAATTGTCATTGGCAGGATTCGAACCCAAGATTTTAGAGTTGGAGGCCGATACTCCAACCACTAAACTACTTGAATTTTTTGATAATAACTTACAAATAAATTATATTTATATACAAATAAATATATATCCGTGTAAATTTCACTACTAGAAAAATGTCAAATAGTAACTTCGAATCTCAACCTCAGCCTCAACCTCGACGAACTCGAGGTCGAACCCCAACTCCGGCGACATCGAACCCCAATGTCAAGCCAAACCCAATTGTCATGCTCGTGAAACCCAACGCAAACCCAGCGGAGCTCGAACCCTAACGCATACCCTAGTGACGTCGAACTCTAACCTCGAGCCAACCCCCACTTTAATTCGGTCGCAATTAGCGATTGATTGATTGCTCAAGGATGTGTAAAAGATGATATATTCAATGTATGTTAAAAAGTTCAAGCCAAACTGTTTTTATAGAAGATTTTCAAAACTGCTGGTTTAATTAATCTGTTAAAAGATTCTTTTAATCTGTTAAAAGTGCAGCTTTAATCTGTTAAAACTTCTTTTAATCCATTAATACGTTCTTGATTCTTTAACGATTTATTTTAACTGATACTGACAACGTTTATATCAATTAAAACACTTTACAAAAAATTTTCTAAGTTGATTTAATCGATTGTTTCGCGATTCAATCGATTGAAATACTGCAAAACTTTCTCGTGACACTTTTCAAGTAATTTTAACTCGATAAAAATAAGTTTTAATCGATTAAAACGCTTGCGTAGAATTGTTTTAATCGATTGAAACGAGATTTAATCGATTAAAATAGTTCTGATCGGTCATAACTACATTCTGATCGATCATAATTGAAACAATATAATAGCGGTTCCAGGTTAACCGCTATCTAAAATGTATCTCGCTTGAGCGACACCCTTCTCGCTCGAGCGAAACGCCCCCTACACAAAATTAGCATTCTCGGGTTGTATTTCGCTTGAGCGACACTACCCTCGCTCGAGCGAAATTAGATTCTGATCGATCATAACTTAAAATGATCGATCATAATTGAGAGGATATAATAGCAGTTCCCTTATAACCGCTATCTAAAGTGTATATTAGATAGCGGTTATAAGGGAACCGCTATCTAAAGTTCATATTAGATAGCGGTTATAAGGGAACCGCTATCTAAAGTGTATATTAGATAGCGGTTCCCTTATAACCGCTATCTAATATGCACTTTAGATAGCGGTTCCCTTATAACCGCTATCTAATATACACTTTAGATAGCGGTTCCCTTATAACCGCTATCAGTAAGTAAAAAATAAAATAAAAAAAGACTTTCAACGTCGGTTCATATGGGAACCGACGTAGAAAGTACTTTCTACGTCGGTTGACTAAGAACCGACGTAGAATGTGTTTAATATTCAATTTCAACGTCGGTTCATCTGAGAACCGACGTGGAAAGTACTTTCTACGTCGTCTCAACTATAACCGACGTTAAATAACGACGTAGAAAGTATATTTTGTAGTAGTGATTAAATAAGTTAAGCATCTTTAAAAAAAAAATACTAAACTTAAAAATGATCACTCATATCACATTAATTTGAATTTTAATGATAGAATCATTACAACAACTCTTTTGTACAAGATGAAATGGTTAACAAATCTATTATCTTCATTATACTACCTATACATATTTCACCTATAGATATATATTAATCTCATCAAACAAGAATTCATCACATATTCATCCAAATTTACTTTTTTTTCTTTTAAATAGGATTGTATCGCCTAAGCAATGCAATTCTAATATTTAACCTACTTGATTATGCCTCTTTCTTGTTTAGTCAACATTTTACATGAACAACTTTTTTACTTTACTTGAACATCTCTCTTTGGCGAATACTTTTAGAATATATGCACCAATTTTATTTGTTTGTTGACCAAGTTTCTTCCTTAGTGCTCAAGTGATATACAAATAGAATTAACTTTCTTCTATAAATATTTGGTTTGAGTGTCTAACTAATCATTTGAACAAAAGTATTTATAGAACAAATTCTATTTCTCCTATAGGCAATTTGTCCATCAAAATATATAAACATACTAATATATATGAATTCAATGATAAAATAATACTAGCAACGAATATCAAAGATTAATTTTAACAAAAAAATCTATTTTTGAAGATTAATTTCTCTTGAATTATTTATTATAATGTGTAGAAATTCCCCCACAGATAAAATCAATAATATTTTAGTATTTTTAGTTTAATATAGTGATGATAATTAAACTCGTATCCATGGGGACCTATCCCGAGTTTGAATGGAAAAACCCGAGTTGATCGGGAGCAGAGATGATTAACGCAATCTCCACCCCGATCTCGTCCTCATCCCGACTTTATATTAAAATTTAAATTTTAAAATATTAATATTTTAAAAATATTTCTTTTTCTTTTTCTATTACATATAAGGTAATCTTTTTATATTTCACCATTTTTATTTTTTTCTACCCACTTTTCAATTTTTTTGTCTTTTTTAATCTTTTATATCAGCTTAATTTATTATATTATTCTCTCTTACCTTTCTGTTTTTCACATTTCTTTAATCTCCCATTAATTTGTGTTTTTTTTCAATCTTTTCAACCAATTTGATGAACACAAAGTTAACTTTTTTTTCTTTATCTTTTTCTACATATTTTACATAAATCTTAGCAAGTAACTAATATTATTTTATTTATATTTATTATATTTAATTATGTCATATTTTTAATCTTATTATTCTTATTTATCATATATCAAATTTTATCTTAATAAAATAATTGTATTTTAAAAGATTAAAAGGAATTGATAATTTAAACTTTTATTACTTCAAACTAATTAAATAAGAATTAACTTATTAAATATTTTCTTATAAATTATATATTTCATATTTTTAAATGAAAATTTAAAAATAAATTAAATGTAATCAAATGTTTGAATATATAATAATAATAATAATAATAATAATAATGTTATAAGTATTTAAATATTTGAATACATGTTATAATAATAATAATAATAATAATAATAATGTTATAAATATTCTATATATATATATATATATAAATTAAAAATGATTAAATATTTCTTTTACATACATATTTTAATATAAATATAATAAATTAAAAAATATATTTAATTAATAATAATTATAAATTATAAAATTATAAATATTTATTTACATATAAAAAATACATAGTAAAATTAATTTATTATAAATGTAATTATCTATTTAAAAATAATATAGATCGGGACTGGACTGGACGGGAGTGGAAACCCGAAATCCAAGCAAGGACTTGGATGGAGACTTAATTTCTAACATTGACGGAGATCGGGGACAGGAGATGAAGATGGTTAAAAAAGTCGAGTGGGCGAGGATCGGGGAGACAAAACACGCACCCGCCCCGCCCCCCGTGCCATGCCTAGTTTAACGTTTTCTCGCAACTTGAGCAACGTTAAACAGTCAAACTTTTTTTTTGCTTGATTTCTCAAGGTATCATAAAATTGATGAAACAATTTACCCAGTTGCAATAAAGTAAATTTAAACCTTACTTAACCCTTCCCAACTTTAATTCTAACCATTTTAATAAAAGTTCCCTAACCTTGAGTTTGGCTAGAGAATTTATATAAGAAAAAATAATTTAATAGAGAATTTGAAATGCTTTATCATAAATTTGGTTTTTCTAGATAGAAAATTTGAAAAATAATTAAAAATCTAAAAATTTATGTAAATAATTTGATAACTTAAGACAAGAGAAATTCACATTTCAGCTTAAAAAATAAGATTTTAAAATTTTTTATTTTTTAATTATTTTCTCCTTCTTAGATTTATTTATTTTTTATATATATTTTTTCTTCTACTCAATCTCGATATAGCTTGATCCATTATAGAATTGGACGATCTTTACAAACATGCCTCAACCGGTGTGATTCGACTTATAATGACCTAGTATTACCTAACCCGACACGTTTTGATTATACTCGAATTCTCATAACCTAACCAATTTTAACTTAACCCCATGTATTAGTTTGACCCAAATTATCTAAACTTGGTCGGACTCATTTTGATTTGACCTATTCTAACCTGAATTATTACTTCCTAATCATGTTCAACTCAATTGTTCATAGTAGACTTGACCCACCCTAACCCAATATATCTAAACTTAGCTCATCTTGATCAAGCTTGACTCATATGGATTTGATGGCTCTTAACTCGATATATCTTATTTTGGTATAACTCTACCTATGTCATCTTAACATTGTCCTATTTTGTTATGATTCTACCTGACTCAATCCACTTGATTGACATAGTTTGATTCATCTTGAACCAGTTTAATTCATCCTTAAATAGTCTTGTCTCATTCTAACCTACCCAACCTAATACAATTAACCCAATTTTTTCTTTAATCAGCCTAATCTATTCCAACCTTACCTATGTGTGTAAGGATTAAGTATGGTAAGCTTAACTTAATCATAGATCTAGCAACTATACTTCTTGTATTTGATAACAATTCAAATATTTTATTTGAACAAGAAAATTAAAATTTAATAAATTTAAATTATTTTATAAGAATAAATAATTTTAAAATTAAACAATTTAAAATAAAAGTAATTCAAATTTAGTATATTTAAATTTTTTGAAAATTATAAAATACTTTATCTAAAATAAAAAAATGGAGAATTTAAAATTTTTAAAAAATAATAACTTACAATTTACAAAAATAAATTATTTAATTGTTTCTTTACAGAATTTTAAAATTAAATATATTTTTATTTTCTACGTATACATGGCTATACTTTGTTATGAAAAAGTTATGAGATAAAACTAAAATGATATTATTTATACAATTATAAAATATTATTAAAATGATATTTACCTCTCATCATTTACATTAACTTCTTTCATCGCTTAACACAAACCCATCCCAGCGTTACCGAATGCCCTATCTTGTTTCATTATGTTTTGATTGTGTTTCAATCTCACAAAGGTTTATATTTTATTTTTAGTCAATTTTAATTTTTATAAAATCTAATTTATTTATTTTTAAATTTGTTAAGATATGCTTTTATGGTATCTTTTAATTTCTTTAATTTTTTATTAATTTAATGAGCAAGGACATATGCAACAATAAGCATTATCACCAATTCTTTCATAAAAAATATCCAAACAAAAAGTACTCTTTTTTTAATATTTCGTTAATATATGAACAAAGCATTAACTTTGAATTTTATACAACTATGTTATTCTCTGTGAGTACTTGGTGCTTAACATTTTTTCGAAGTTTAATGAATGAAGAGAAATCCGCTTATTTTAAAATTACGTGTATGAGATAGTTATTCTTTATTTTCATAATTTATTCTTATATATAAATAATTAAAGGATTATATATATATATATATATATTCCAAGATGAATATCGGTGATCAACCAACTAATTTTTATATTTAACATTTTTTTCAAATAAAACGACATAATGAAAAATTATACTTTTGTAGTTGAAATAGAATTTGTTTATGCAATATATATATATATATATATATATATATATATATATATATATATATATATATATATATATATATATATAATAAACTTACCCCATCTGAATGCAATTATTTTTTTCTGGTCAAATATATATATATATATATATATATATATATATATATATATATATATATATATATATATATAATAAACTTACCCCATCTGAATGCAATTATTTTTTTCTGGTCAAAGTACTAGCATTATGAGCCCATTGACTAAATGGGCTATGGTTCCCTCACAATTTATGAGCCCATTAAAAACACAGAATTTTTGTGGATCGACCAACTATTCTACCAATAAATCATACAATAACAGTAGGTTTGTTTTTTGCAGTTTCAAATACCCAAAGAAATTAGCCAAAAATGCTAACTTTCAAAATATACAATAACATCTTTGTTTTGTAGCAGCAGCACCTTGTAATCCACATCAAAATTTCCAGCAAGGTTGAAGCGAAGTTTAATGATCAAATAAACTTTAACGAGTACAAAAAATGTTTTCTGTATCATTTTCTCTTCAAATCAAACCATTGCTATGTCCTGTAGAGAGACTATCAATAACCTGTCTGTAGAAGTTCCAATATTCTGTTTTTTCACTAATGCCTTTCTGGCCAAATGGGTGTTCCTCGACGTACTTACGCATATCTTCAGCATTTGCCAAGCCATCTAAATACACTCTCAGTTCTCCTCCTTTAGCTGTCATGAATTTAGTTGTGTTAATTTCTTCATCTTCAAATTATAAACTTAGCAAAGTGAAACACTAAATCGAATGTTTTCAATAAATTTTAGTTAGTTAAGACTCAGTTTATCACACTAAATGTCAAGGTTACTCTGAATTAAGAGATGATTACATGGTTATGTTTTCAAATATACCATGTTAGAAAAATTATCCAAACATGCTCCTAATAGAATATCAAAAAATATTGTTTTTGGCTTCCTATTTGTTTCCCACAACACGATTCATGCAAGAAGTTTGAAGAAAAGTAAAGAAAATAAACCAAGTATGTAAAGAAACATAATTAAATGAAGGAGAGTGAATCAAGCCTTCATCACTCGGATTTATACAAATAGAACTCAAGAAAGATTTTAACTAATGAGTTGTCGTTCTCATTATGATAACTGAATGTATGAGGGAAGACAGAGGTGTTTGGCTAAATAATTTATCAAAAAAAAAAAAAAAGGTTAGAAAATGTAGTAATTAGGTGATACCAAAAAAATGACAAGCTGTAACAAGGAAATAAAATAGAGTAAAATTATTTACAGGATTAAGCAATGCCTTGTAAGGAGAATCATCCAACAACAAGGTATTGGATTCATTGTAAAATCCTTTCTCCCATGGAAGATTACGATCCTGCTTATCCCAAAGTTTTCTCAAATCCTTAAAAACCAAATTCTTATTTTCATTCTCAAGAGTCTTGAAACGTGTTTCGGTGCAATGAGAAAGGTCCTGCATATTAAAAGCCAAGAAAATGCAGAATTAGAAGTGGAAAAAGTTTACTTATAACAAAACTGAGAATGGAATGAGTAAGTGGAATGTGGTAGTTGCTATCAATCTAATGAAAATATTATAAGAATATAGTTGTCATATCTAAGATAAAGTTCATATCTAAGTTGAGTTTTCTTGTAAAATGACAAAATGAAGAAGCAAGATAAACATCACTGAAAGAATTAAATACAACTAATTACTGACATGGTTTCTTCAAACCTTTCATCTATAAATATGTATCGTTTATAAAAAGTTTACTAAATGAGAGACACAAGGTAAGCAAGCATCAACAGAGAGATTTTTGTTGTCAAAGAACAATTAATTCAACAAAGACTTACCCAACAGAAAAGTAATTTGTTTTTCAAGAATGGCATCAGATAGTTAATGAGTGGATCAACATTTTTCCTATCATAAAAAGAAACAGTTAGTTTGTGCTAAAGCTAATTGTTAACAAAATATCTCAGAAAAAGAGGAGAGTTGAAATTCTTTCAGAAAGTGAAATGAAGAAACAAAATTGAAAAGTATATTAGTTGAAGAGTACTTCATTCTTGAAGACCATATGCCAACTTCAAATTTATCGAAGCAAAACTCCAGAAACTCAAGATAGGAGGGCCGCTTGAATACTGAAATCAAATTCAAATATAACCTACATCAGTAAAAGAATGAATACGATTCTTAAAAAACAAAGGACATGACAATTCTTACTTGCTGTCATTGCAATGGTAATATCTGCCTGCCGATCCGTCGGGGGAGAAACTACAGCCGCTAACAACCCATTTATATCAAGAACAATGAGTCTTTTCTTCAAAGGAAGAACTCGAGTTCCACCCAGAGAAATTTTAGAAATTTCTGCAGTAAGATGTTCATTAATGACTGGAGCAGATACAGTCTTCTTCTCATCAGCGCTAAGATGTTCATTAATGACTGGAGATGATACAGTCTTCTTTTCATCAGCGTGAGAAGATAACTCCTTATCATATTTTCCTTTGTCTATCACAGTTGACTTAGTATTCACTGAATTTCCTTGGGGATCCATCCTATTTTTCTCAGAAAATATTGACAACAACAATAAGATTCAAACTACAGTTTATAGCTGTAGAAATCATTGCACTCAATGTTTTGGAGCAGGCTCCAGTAGTACATTTGCGTTCGTCTTCTATATAAAGTAATGCAACTAATCATGCTGCATCATTCTATATCCTTCTAGCTTTGCTTATTTGCTTGAACTTACATATTAGGCAATTTAAACTAACAAGTCCTAAGGAGCCATAACAAAACATCAATCTAAAACAATTTTTAAAATTGTTTCTTTTAACTTAACTGGGTCATTTAGGTTGCTACTGCAACTTTAAACCAGTAAATATAATGGCTTCAATTGGCATATCTCATAATGTGACTTGTAAAATGTTTGGTAGCAAAGTACATTTAATGAAGGAAAATGACCAATATATCTAGATAGGCTGCTTATACTCCTCATTTCCTAAAACAAACCAGACATATCTTAAATGGTAAAATGATATAAATTTTAAGAACATAGCAAGATCCACCCCTGCATACATTCTTACAGGGTTACAAATTACAAGACAGAGCTATGCCTTATTGTATTATGCTTAAAATAAGAAGGTCCACCTATATGGCATGAGACAAACCAAACATATAGTGAAATATTGAAAGAATTAACACACAATAATACTAATAGCAATTTTATAGACGGAGATGATTTCATGTGTTGAAAGAAAACCAGAGAGCAAGTACGAGGGATCGTATCACGCTTACCACTTATATCAAAAGGTTAACAAGAATGTTCAACTTAATACTATTGTTCTTATACTGCCCTCTTTTATCTTTCACTGGGTTAAATAAAATGGTTCCAAAAAATCTTATTTGTTTTAAAAATCCATATTCTGAAAAGAAATGAAAAAGCTCAGGCGCACTGAGTATAACAGAAGAAATTCATGAAAGATAAAATACATGAACATTAGCATTGGATAAAACAGATAAAATGGTGAATTAAAAAACAGAAAGAAAGTTGCACCAAGAAAAACAAGGAAATTGGAGATTAGGCTAAGAAGGTAGTACCTTTTCAAGTTCCAGAACTATGGAAATGTGGAGAACACGAAGAACAAGGTGTAGAACTATAAAATATTATTGTGATTCTTCCTTCACCTCATGCACGCTGCTATAACTACACTGAGACTGTTCGGTTTCAATTTTTAACATCAGTTATGGAAAGTGTAACCGTCGCATAGAAATTGAAGCAAGGTCATGTCACACACGACTCTCAATATGCACACCAAAACATTCTTTCACTTGGCAAAGTAATAATAAAAAATTCTTACTCAGGTGGTGGTGTTTGGCTATTCATGGTTTAAAGATTTCTCTTATTCACTTTCCACTTATAATTCTTATTATCATACCCCCTTCTGAAAAATGGTTAGGCTCTTATACTATTTCGGACAGAGACCCCTTTTAATCAAGATGATATGAACATTCTAGGGCATAACGGCGTCATCCCTTGGCTAAAAGCCCACTCAAGTTCATATTTCTCATAAGAAGAACACTCTGAGATAAAATGGTTTCATAGATCGGAAGCTTTCTGATACACAGGATCCTCTTTCGAGGCAAGTGTAGAGCATACTTGCATCTAAGTGGGGAACGACACTAAGAATTATAAGCTTCAAGCTTTCAGAGAAGAGAAAACTTAGAGAGAGAGCATTTTAGAAAGGGATCTTGTATTGATTTCACTCTAATTTATTCTGCCCTTACAACATTACAAGCATCCCCTATTTATAGCGAAAGTAAACACACGGAATTCAAAGCTTCGCTAAACTAGAATAAAATTCGGACCCGAAACTTATGATACAAGGTGGAATCCGAAGTAACTTATTCAAACTTATGGCCCACACATCATAATGGCCTTACAAAGGACAAAACACCATGATTCACACTTTATTTAAAGTCATACGTATGGACAAAGTAGAAAAGATAAGATAAGATTCGAAAATGATGTCTTATCTCTTCATGGAAAGTAAAGTTGATTCTATCTTAACTTCATTAACACGTTTGCGGTAAACGCAATAGGCACGTGTAAAGCTAAGGGAATCTTGCTTTAGTAGCATGTCATAATGACAGCCATTAACTAAAGCCTTTACTTTAGTCAGATCGAGTGGAGCCAGAGTAGTTCATCTGTTGGGCTTCACTCCTTGTCATGCTTCCATGTAGTGGGTCCCAGTAGGGATACATCTTCTTGTGCATTATCATTTCTTCCATCAGTTCTTCGTTGATGTTATCTGCTAGATCTTCTACTTTCTGGAAGTCTTCATCGGGGACGTTCATTTCTGCTCGTGATTTGAAAAATCTTATCTCTTGGAATTTGTCTTCTTTTGGAGTGATTTGATTTAACTCGGTATGTGTCGATGGTCTCTGGGATGAACTGGCAATGTTGGGGTCTATCGGCTTTGGTTGATAATGATTTATTTCACAAAGATGATGCGCCAGCTAGTGCACTAGAATCGTTATCAAGTGGATAGGTGTCAAAGCCGGCCCATAGATAAGCTTCATTTTTTGACCAAAGGTGTCCAACTGGATTCAAGAAGTATGGACAGTGGATGATGAAAATGGATGTTAGATTCTTGAGAGAGTCTTCGCAACTCCTTCTCGCTTTGACGGTCTATGATCTCCTTAAGCCGTTGTCTCCACCAGGGTATCGGAGAAAACCATTCGAGCAAGTGTCCAAAAAAGGAATTTGTCTTTATATGGATGTGTCAAAATATTGTAAGTTGTTTGAGTCTTCAATGCAATAGGAATGGAGTATTGAACCGTATCGCACCAAATGGTCCAAAGGGTAGGCTCACAAAGGTCCCAACCAGGTTCACGTAATAGTTCAAAAATTCCCCCAAAGGGAATATCAGGATTGAACGATGAGGCTGAAATTACTTTGTATCTGAGGGTTTCATGTAAAAAGTAAAAATATCTGGTTCTGGCATAGTGGAGAATATCAGCTGGTGTGGTTGGGTTTAAACCAGGTGGATAGACTTTGATGGTTTTGGCTTTATCAGAGAGAGGTTTGACCATAAAGATAAGAGGAAGACTATAAGTGTCAACTATCAATTGGACATTCTTTTTGGGTCTAGACAAAAAGTCTGGGACTCGTGTTTAGGTTTCCTTTAATGTGCTTAACAAGAAAATCATACCTGGAAAACCAGTCCATTAACCCGAGAATCTCGAGGATTTGGAGGCATTTTGTTCTTGAACTCCAAGATCTTTGGGAATGAAGAGTTGTCCATCCGAACTTCAAAGTGATATCCTCTAAGATGGAAGTCGAACTTTCTTATGCCATTTTTGACTGCTAAGGCTTCCTTGAATGTGGTGTGATAATGTTTTTCTGCATCTTTGAATTGTCCACTTGCATGTCCACAATAGTATCTTCTCCCATTATCTTCTTCAATGAGTACTGCTCCCCAGTATTCATCACTGGCATCAGTCTGCAATATTCTTTTTCCATTGCCTGGAATTTTCAGAGCAGGAGGAGCTTGGGCTATCTTTTTTAGTTCTTTAATAGCTCTGGTTTGCTCTGATCCCCATGGAGGTGGATTCTTCTTCAATAGCTTGGACAAAGGACTTGTATTTCTTGCAACATTAGGGATGAATTCCCTGATATAATTAACTATCCCGAGAAATTGTTGGATCTGCTTGATGGTCGATTTTCATCTGGGAAGTCGAGAAGTTCTTCAAGAATGTGAGGTTGAGGCCGATAAGATCCATGACTCGAAGTGCATTCCTAAAAAGTCAATTTCTTCTTGGGCCAAGTGAATCTTTTTTCTCGAGAGCATTATCCCATGTTGATGGGCTATTTCAAAGAATTGATTCAATAATTGTTTATGAGAGTCCATGTTTGGTGAGAACAATAAAATATCATCAATGTATACAATTGCTCTATCTAATATGGGTTCGAAGATTTTTGTCATGGCCTTTTGAAACAGTGATGGGGCTGTTTTAAGCCCAAAGGGCATTACTTTCCATTGGTATTGGGCATTGGGTATGCAAAAGCGCTTTGTATCTATCGGTGGGTCAATGCCTAGTTGCCAAAATCCGGATTTGAGGTCGAACTTAGAAAAGATATGGGCTTCTTTTATCAAGATGGGTAAGGATGAAGCTTTGGGTATTGGGAATTTATCATCCTTAAGAAAACAGCTTAAGAGGCTTGTAGTCAATTACTAACCTCTTTTTCCCTCCGAGTTTTTCGCACCTCTTTTCTACATAAAAGGCTTCGACAGCCCAATTGGATTGGGTTGGTTCGATTAGGCCCTCGCTTTCAACAGCTCTTGACATTCTTGTCTTGCTAACCGTAGGTCCGAGGGAGACATTCCTGGGTGAGTAGCTTTGGTTGGATTAACATCTTCGCTGAGCTTGAAGGGTAACTGTACAAAGAAACTAGAATTCTTCCATAAAGGCTTGGGATGAGAAAATTCTTCATGACTCGTCGGCACACGTAGAGGTTAACTTTTGTTTTATCTCTTCAAGTTCTGAGGAGCTTCGGAGAGAGAAAAGAGTCTTGGTATCTCCGTAAAGAGTTTGAACTCTCTTTTGAACTTGATTCCTTTAGGAAGTATTTGAAATCTACTAGTCATGGAGAAGATGTCCATGCCTATCAAAATGTCTTTGTTGGGAAGCTTACTTCCTATCACTTTACTCCAAACTATACATTCTGGAAAGAATTTAATTCCGATTGGAGCTCCGGTTATTAACTCAGTCTTGAAAACTTTCCCGTCAGCTGCTACAAAATAGGAGGCTTCTTTCTTCCAAAATTCTTTGGGAAGAATATCAGGATCCATCATGGATTTCGGGCTCCAGTATCAATGTAGGCTATGACTTGGATAGATTTGTCATATTTAGATGGAAGGATTTGAACCTCTAAACAGTGGTCGAGGAGGAGAGACATTGATGAGGTGAGTTTCTTGGAAAGAGAATACTGGAACAAGATCGCTTCGCATTCTTCGAATATTCTCGATTCGCATTCATCAGAGGAGATGTTAA